TCACTCCTGTCTTTGATTAATCCCTTGCTGGACTTCAGAGACCCCTACTTATTTGTGATTTCTGCATACTCATCACTTCTCTCGTCTCATAGCTTCTGTATACTGATTTGAGTATATAGCTTTTGCTCTTTTTTGCCTTCTCACAGAAATACCCCAAAGAGAACGTGATGAGTTCAAGTTGGTTGTTACTTTCCCTACTGGTCACAGTGCTTAGTCAAGGACCCTCTTACATATTGCTGGCAAACCTACATGGGCAACTCTTGGGACTGGTATCGCCTTTGATCCAGCAGTGATCAAGACTACTTGATAAGATATTAAGATCACTAAGTTCTCCCCTCTAAGGCCCGAGAAACGGGAGACACTTTGCAAAACTCAAAACAAAAATCTGTAATTAAAAGACACCTCATTTCACATTAATGAAATCTATATCCACCATCTAGAAGAAAGTGCGTAGAGCATAGTAAGTGTACAATATGGTTGAAATCAACTCATTTACATCTGGAAACACTGCACACATTTTCATCTCAATGCTACACGTGACACTGACTTAATCCTACATCAGTTTTATAATCTTATCTGAAAAAATGTTTTGCATAAATTATATATCTATATAAATTAAGGAAGGCCTCAAATATTCTGCCATACTGTTAATTCATTGGTTCACATCAGACCATACTGCATGGCAACTACTCAGTGTTAGGTCAAATAGTTAATGTTATTAACAAAGCTCCTTAAATTTTATGGAACTATTTACAGAAAAAACAGAACTTGCTTTTATTTTGGAGTTGTGGAGTACCCTGAACTGAATTTATTTAATTATTTCCCCTCCTCTATAAAATTGGTCATTTGACGTTGTTTACTTTGATATTATATCCATACCCTATTTTTCCCACAATGAAAATTGTTATGACCTCATTGATTGCCCATGAAACAAAGCCTTTTCTACGATTCTTTAACCTTGCATGCAGTGTTTTGATCACCTCTATAAAATTTTCCTGTTATATAATCATGGCATTGTAAAAACTGGGCAATGAGTGTAATTTCAATCATAGGCAGGAATTTTATCCTGCTTGCAAAAAAACGTGAACGTTGAAAAAGTGCAATTCACAAATTATTTTTCAGTTCCAGTGTGTCTGTCTCCCTTTCAGTTGGGTAAATTGTCATTCGCTTTAAAGTCTTTCTTGAAAGTCATGTCAGCTTGGCTACAGTCTGTCCTATTCATTAAAGCTACATTACTGCCCCTTTCAACATTCTTCTTGACATTATGAATATTAATGAAATCATTTCCCTCTCCATCAACAACTTGCTTCACTTTCTTATTCTTTGAGTAAGCTATTGTTAAAGGAGAATTAGATCACAGAATCAAGGACTCAGAGAGCTTCCTATTTTTGACAAAAACATGAGTGCAATAATGCATTAATACATTAGTACACAGACCTACCAGGCGTTGTTGATACACACATTCTCAGAAGCTTGCATCACTCAGGAACATTTGGGGAGATAGTATCAGTGAACTGGAGCTAAAATATATTAAAGCATAGATGAACATAAGCTCGATTACTTCCCAATATAGGACGACAGGTTTAAGCTGAGAATATTTGGAGGGCTTTAACTTGTGTGCATGGAAACAGACTTGGGTCTGTGTTGCCTTTTTGATTAGGGGATAGAGCATCAGATATTTGCCAACAAAGTATCTTCTACAACATTCCTAAAACTTGACCAAATTCTGTTACTAACAGGACACGGATTAAACTCTGTCACTGCTGTTGATTACATCTGATGAACATGGATTTCTTGAATCCCTGAAGCAGAGACAAGTCTTTGCCTACTTCAAGGTAACCTAAAATATAAAAGGGTTTTTAATGGGTGTCGTGGTTTAGTCATTTTCCTGTTTTAAGAATACAAAAAGTTAGGATGAAGAGCTTGTTAGCATCAGATTCTTAATTTTTTCCAGCCAGATTGGAGAAAATTAAGCTTTTTGAATGACAAATTTAAATCGAGCATTGCATTAAAGCATAGGTGGTTGTTTTGATAAGAGTGTCCCTGAGTAATGAATGGCTTTTATAACGAATAGAGGCAAACACATAACAACACATCTATACACAATACCTTCATTTTTTAAAAGGTATGGTTGAAGCTACTCGTTTTAATTCTCCAATTGTTTCGATGGCCAGATTTTCAACATGTCCTCACCAAGACAGCTAGCACAAATGCTGATTCAGAAAGCTTTTTAAGTTTGGCCAGTGGCCACTTGAGTAGTAGGGCTAAACTTCTGACTCCTTTTTAGACTTTCTCACATTTTGTGCACGTGCTCCCATATGCTTCCACTCCAGCTTCTGAGGCTTCCCAGTGAGTGGTACCACTTTTCTTTATGTCTGCTTGAGGCTAAGAAATGAGTCCTTGATTTCAAAAGTGCTTAAATAGGTTGCTGCTGAACTGATTTTTACCTTTTAAGTATAAGTGCCCTTCTGATAGACTGAAACATTACTCAGACTTACCAAATAACACAACTCCTAGACATAACAATATTTTATGTGCTCAGAAGTCTCAAATCATTAGCTACATTGTACCTTGAACTTAGTGGTCATGATCGTGAATAACAGTTTATGTTCTCTGAGGTCCTGTTGCTCATTATGCACACTGGGAATTAAAATATGTCCCACAGAAATTTTTATTGGAAAAGAAAGAGTTGAGAAGAGACCAATGCTCTGTAAATATATATGGATCATCATTATTTTTCACTGAATCTCAAGAAACACTGAATTCTGAATGTGGTTTGGTTTGTGATATTAGTATCTTTGATTCAACAGAAAGCTACCTAAAAGAATAGTTTTAGGTAGTTTTTATACTAACTAGGCTAAATCTCCTTGACCTTCTGAGGGCTTGGTCCTGCAGTAAGACCCAAAGGCCTTATTACACTTCAGTAATAAAAAGCATGCACGATTCATTAAGGATAGAGACCAGGCTTTATGTTATATTTATTTATTTTCCAGCTTGTACAAACTGGATGTAGAAGCATAAACATAGTACATTTCTACCATCTTCAACAAAAATATAACCAATATGTACAATTATTGTATTAAAAATACAAAAGGGATACAGACTCCACCAATGTCTTTCTAAAAGACATACAGGTACAAGTAGTATCAAAAGTATGAGGAAATCACCAGTTAATTGTACATTCTGCACTTGACATCACAGAGCGAACTGAGATTAGCAGTCCTATGTTCTACAATTACTTAATGCTTAGATAACGTTTGTGCGACTTGTGGTAGAGCTAGGTTTCTGTCTGTCTATCTGCACATGAGGTCCACAGCCTATATAAGAAAACTGGCAAATAATGCCTATTACATGGAAAATTACAAATGCATAATTGACAATGTAATATATAAGCAAGTAGACAAATGCCATGATACAGAAGAGATTTATTAAATAAAGCACTGACATCGTTTTGATGCAGTGAAAAAACACTGCAATTTGACTTTTAAAATTTGAAGCTATTTACGTTTATCTACTGATCAATATGATCAGCTGAATTTAATGGAAAAAAAATCCAAGACCAGCAGTTCCTCACATTTGAGTACTACTCGGATTGGCAGCCTTCACTTTTCCGGAGTCTGTGCAAAAACAACACAAAAATAGAGTGGAGGGGTCATTTCAGTCACTATAGGGTTAATAGCAGCTGTGAGCAGGTGGTTGCTACACGTAGGCCTTCTCTATCTGCAGCGTCCATAAAGCCACTTCCAGGTTAGTCTTTGGTGACTAACCCACCTCGCAAAGGCTGGCATGTCTAATCAGGTTTTTGATCTTTTGTTCCTCTATCACGTTAAAGGCTTGTTTATTCCCTAATGCCAGTTCGGTACAGGGAGGCTGTCTCCAAAGAGCAGTATTAACAGCTGGCGTTAGCTCCAATATCCCAAGCTGCTTTCACTGCAATGCTATCCAGTTACAAACGTTTCTCTTTAAAAACGAAAAAAAAAAAAAAAAATCCCTAAAACTAATTTAACAAAAATCAAAGAAACATAACTTAAAAAAAAACGGGGTTTGCCATCCGTCTCGATGGAGCAGGACACGCCCTCAAACGACACTGTCCTGCACTCCATAAGGCTCAGACACAGGACACAAGAGTCCTTTTTCCCTCCCCTGGCCATGTGCAAACAGTTTTACAGAAGAACCCCACCCACTGGGGAAGGAGTGGATGAGGTGTCTTGGTATCTAAGTAATTGGCTAACATCTTCTACTTCCAGGATAGGGCACTTCACGGGTGAGGCCAGAAGGACATGGGAAGACAGGGTCGCAAGCCAGGTCTTCCCTCTTCTTGGTGTGACCACACCCTGTCCGGCATATTTGGTTTTTTAGAAACCCAGGCTGGCAACCCTACTTAAAGGTTCAAAATAATACTGTGATCATCAAATGGATAGAACATTTACTCTCTGAACACAATCTTTAAATTCATTAAAAAAAAAAAAAAAAGACATTGTAAACAAGTGGACAAAGCACTGTACTCAAGAGGATTTCATTGTTTTTCTTTGTCTTCTTTGATGGGTTAAAGGCCCCAAGTAGTTCAATGGCTAGCTTTTCTCATTATCCCAATGAGACCAAGTGCTAGGACTGGATTGAAATCTAAAAGGAAGATTTAAAAAAATCCTTCCAGGCATTGAGAAGTGCAGCCAGAGTGAATCATCTTGTTGTGATGATCTTGGAATTGGGAATGATACTGTGTGATGTGGCAGGCAGCAACAGTGGGAGCTCGAAGATTGCTGCACTGTGCATTTCAAGCAACAAAGTCTGAAAAGTGCCAGGGCAATTTCTTCACAGTATTTCACATGCAAAGGGGAAAGGAAGAAGGGGAGAAGAAGCCCCATGCTGCTTTTAAGGCAGGGAAGGAGGCAAACTGGTCCACCATCCTCAGAATGCGAGTTCCACGGCTCCACTGCTAGGGACGTCTTCTTGTGCTCTCCTTTTAGGTGGCTAACTCTGGATCCAGAAAAGCCTGTGCCTCAAACAGCAGATACTTGTTCATCTTCTGCAAACACAATGAGGAAAAAAAAGAAAGAAAGGAAAAAAAAAAAAGTGAGCAGGCAAGTCATTTCTTTGCTAGAGAGAATACATTCACTGATAGGTTAAATAAAAATACCATAGCTATGTTTTTAGTATAGCTCACTTAAAATCTTTTCCCTTTTTTTCTAAGTAATGATTAATATTAAAGTTTTAAAAAAAAGTACATCTGATGCATATCTTTAAATATACACAGTAGAAGATATAAATATCGTATGCTTACTGATTGCAAAGTTAATAAATTAATTGAAAATTATGAAGCAGCATGGGACTTTAAATAATATATACGCACACATAAATCTAGAAGGATATGTAACAAAATGTTAATAATGGCTATCTGCAAGAGGTAGGACTAGAAGTGATTTTCATTTTTTGTCTTTTACTTTTTTTCCATTATGATTATTTGCATAAGAAAACATGTTAAACAAGGGCAGAGGGTGATCTCCGTCACCCTCATTCCAGCATGGCCAGGTAGATTTATAGAAAGGCGGCAAAGAAGCTATAAGGTATGCTTCTTTATCAGACTTTCATTCGGATCTCGTTAAAAGTCCAAATACATTTCCACAGAGAAACTTTGAGAATCAGTAAGAAATCTAGTCATGTAACACACTTTATTGCAAGTGTCCCCTCGGCAATCTTTGGTATTTCTAAACACGTTCAGGAACGAACAAACTCTGAACACAAAATGTTCCTTATGTGGGATATGGCTAAAGACGCAGCTGACCAAGGTGTTAAGAAAACAAATGCCCTCAAAAGCTCACAGGCAGAATAAGTGAACACACTAATGCTATGGTTTTAAGAATGCGTATATATACCATCCTCCTCGGTGGAAAACCCTTGAGACTGATAGGGGGCGAGGCGCGGGTCACACTCATTGGGCTTATGCCACTGCGGTTTGTTCACTGGCCTGCCGCTCGCTGGAGGCCCGTGTGGCTGCTGTGCAGGCGAAGGCCCAGCTGTGTCGGTGGGTCGGGCGACCATCCGAGATCTCTGAAGTGCCACGTTGTAGTCCGGAGGTTTCCTGGCAGGATGGGAATGTCCTTCTGGAAAGTCAGTGATGGGGATTCCAATGTAGCCTGGAGGGGTGGGCGGGGGCTCTCGATACCTGCCCTCCTTCCGCACTGTAGTGAAGACAATGTACCCGTCATTGCAAATTTTGTGGACGATTATTTCATGCCACAAATGTTTACGATAAATTATAAAACTGGGGCGCCTGGGTGGCTCAGTCGGTTAAGCGTCCGACTTCGGCTCAGGTCATGATCTCACGGTCCGTGAGTTCGAGCCCTGCGTCGGGCTCTGTGCTGACAGCTCAGAGCCTGGAGCCTGCTTCGGATTCTGTGTCTCCCTCTCTCTCTGACCCTCCCTCGTTCATGCTCTGTCTCTCTCTGTCTCAAAAATAATAAAACATTAAAAATATTTTTTTTAATTATAAAACTAATTATTGAGACAGCAAACACTGTGCAATGACAAATGTGATATATGTTGTGTGGGGGATATGGCAGGAGAGGAAATGGATGTTAACTGGGCCAAATATTCTCAATGGTTATCACCATGGTAAAATAACTGGTGAGAGACGTTACTAAACAGACTACTTCAGATCTTGCATTTCACTATAAAATAGTAATAAGGTTAACACTTAACCCTTGGGTTTATTGGAAAGTTTAAGCAAAGAGAAAACATAAAATCCTAGTATTATGCCTGGGAGATATTAGTAGTGCCTGCTAAAAGTTTCCTTCCTCCTTCTCCCCCTACCCTAAGGACAAGGTAAGCTAGTCCATATTACCTGGGCATTTACCCTTGTCAGGCAGAAAATCAATTGTACATTACTTTCAGGTCTTGGACCTCACTTTGGAAAAGAGAATTAAATTTGGAAAAGTCGTGCAAAAATTGACACAAATTTTAAAACTCTAAACTATAAGGTATGTATTTCTTTTAAAGTCCTTTATTAACGTTCATGACCTAGAACATGAAATCTGTGAAGCCAAGCAGAATGAGAGTTTTATTTTCTGGAACTTCATAGATTCAGTTATTAGGAATGAAACTCATTCCCATCTTTGCAATCAAAATTCTAAGTATTAGTTTGTTACAAGAAAGTGCTTTAAAAATTGCAACCCAAGACAAGGTATTAACTGTTATCCATCCATGACTATTTATATGGCAAAATAACAATTTCCCTATTAATAAATTCCATTCTATATTTATACAGTCTCTGACTCTGTATCCTGTAATTTATTCCTACACTTCAGTTAGGTAGATGTTGACTATGCCATAGAAAATACAACCTGATAGGAATGGGGGAACATGAGAGACTTCATAAGAGAAACAGCAGCAGCAAAGCAAAAACATCTTTCAAATACTTATAAATTACTATCTAGGCACAGTTCTAAGTGCTTTCCATTGAGTTCCTTTAATCCCCACATCAACCGTATTGATAGAAATTATTAAGCTCGTTTCACAAAGGAAGAAGCAGATATAGGTTAGTTCCTTGCCCATATGTCACAAAGTGAGTAAAGTGGCAAACAGGGATTCAACCCCCAATCCGCCAAATTCGTAGCCTATGCTCTTATGCTTTATGCTACTTCTCAGCACCCTCTTCCTTGTTCTACAGTGTGCAGCACATGATTTGTCTGCATAACAAAAGTGAATGGAAGATTTATATATGCAAAGTGTCAAGTTCTAAGTAGAATTCAAGGAACAAAATAGAACTTTTAAAACAGCTCCGATTACGCAAAAAATTCTTCCTTTAGAAAGAATGGGCATCCTTCTGATACTTTTAGCCTAAAAGGTAAGAAAAAATCCATAATGATAATCTGCTGATCTTGACTGCTAAAATGTACAGACTGTTTATTATGCTGGAATATATCTGTATGTCCCTGACCACAGAACCTGGGCTCTTCACTACTCTTATTTCAAAATCCTGAACATACCGCTAATTTGGAAGCCCCCGACAACAACGGGTGGGTCAAGATGAGGAAAAGAACCATGAACACATAATTTTACTTTTGAAAGGTGAGATCTGACAAAGCTCTCTAATAAGCTTACCAATAAGTCCCTTTGTGGTACTCGACGTCACAGCTATGTGGGCCGGCGTAGGAACAGGTTTGGCTTCTTCTGTGGTCACAGAGGTGATGCTACTGCTTTCGGCTTCAATGGAAACATCTTTTCCACCCCTTCGCTTTATTGTGCCTGTGTCACCTTCCGAGTCTTCTCCCCAGTATCCTGTGGAAGATGCCCAGCTTGCCCGGGATTGGGCTTGTTCAAGACTCTCTCTACTTTGATTTTGCCTGTTGTACTTTGTGCTGTGATCAGAAAACATAAGTTGGTCCATATGGCTACTTGAGGCCCATAAACCTGCAGGATCCCCTGAATAATCAAAGTGAGTGTGCCCAAATGGAAGTGTTTCCCAGCTTCTCTGGTGCTGAATGGTCTGTATATTATCATGTGAGCCACTTGAGCACGACGTCCAGCTCCCACGGCCACTGTCAGCGGCATCGAGTGATGCACGATCCCCTTGGTCTTGGGAAAGTTCCTCTGTGCTTGGGGAAGAAATTACTGTAGCTGTAGCATACAAGCCTCGACTCTCAGACATTGGTGCATAGGACCTACGTGGTTGAAAATGAAAAGGGGAAAAAGTGCAAGATTGTTAATAAATCTGTGATATAAAACCAAAATACGTTTTCTCCCCCCAGAAAGGTGGCTTTGTTTCATCACAGGAAGAGGATAAAAGCACCCCCGAGTTTCATTCTCCTGGCTGGTTCTGCCACATCCAGTTTGCTCACCTTGTCATCACCAATACAGAGGGAAAAGAACAACAACTTGCTTATATATAATAAAGGAACCCTTTCCTTAGAAGGTTAAAGGACGAGTCAACATAATCTGATTTCAGGGAGGCAGCGCACACACAGGACCTGGTACATCCTGAAACCAGCCTCTTCCTTTAGCACAGAGCAACTGTATTCCAAGAATAAAGCTAACTTGAAAAGCAGTGCATACAACAAAAATTGCACGGAACTTAATCTAGAAGTTGTAAAAATTAGAACTGGGATGGGTGAGCATTTCTTGGGCATTAGGTAAAATAACAGAAATCCACATCCAGAATAAAGGACTAATTTTTAAAGGATGGAAGAAGGAATGTAAAAGAACACTAAAGAAACGCTGCCCACCCTAAGCTGTACTGGTCTGGTTCAATCACAGTCCGCCTTTCCATCCTGCCCACACCGAGGTTTGTCTCCACAATGCTGACAGAATGCCTCTGGCGCCTCTCATCATGCAGCGAGACTGGCACTGAGTCAAAGGAAGAATTGCTGACAATACTGGATCGTGAAGAAATCTCACTGTGACCAGAATCTGAGAAATTATCCACAGTACCACTGGGAGCCAGAGTGTAGCCTGCATGGGAAATAACGACCATATTAATTAGACACCATAGGTTTACAACATAAAACTGAAGTCTACCAAATAGAAGCAAAACCAAAATGCAGGCCAAAGGTACCACCATTGAAGTGAGGGAAAAACCATTTTACTTGTGGAGACTTGGGTGACTGGTAAGGTAAACTTTTACTCAAATGAATTTTAACATGTTTCATGAAAGTTTAAAGAAGAAAAAAAGAAACACTGTTATGTGCACTAGGAAATTTTGCAGAAATCATGGCACTAGTTGACTATTCTTAGCTCCTTTAGGTATAAATAATACTATTAGTCTATATAAAAGAAACTAAGAAGAATAAGTATGATAAGTTTAAAAGTACTTTTTTAACTGCAAAGTCAGTAATCTTCAATGAAGTTTTTAATTTTTAGAACTTTATGGCAGAGAATATTCAGCTAGAAGTATGTGTCTTACCATTTCAAGTGGACATATAAGAATAATACCTGAAATACCTGAAGAAAATACCTTTGGGTTTTTGCCATTTGTTTTTCAGTATTAATATTATATTGGATGAATCGCAAAGAAGCCAATTGTTTTGAAGGATGTAATGTGCAAAATCTCCAGTTTCTCCCTAGACCATCACTATGTCTAAACAGATGTCCTGAAGGACCCTTAACTCTCCTTTGCTGCTAAAAATAATTTTGAAAGCCACAAAGAAAGAGGTGCTTGTCTTGATATTTTTAATGAAAAAATTCAAATCTTCTTTCTCAGTACTCATTTTTTAAACAATATTAGTATAGATCTCACATTACTTAAAATACTGGTTTTATATGATCATGTGTATGCAATGCAGATTTTTCAATGCCACTTACCTAATAAAAAAATTAAATCTAGAACACCTAAATGTTGCTAATTTACCTTCTATAAGTACTTCCCCATCCTTTCAGTAACTTGTTAATTCCTGATTTATTTTTTAAAGGTTGCACAGGTCTTGATAAGATTTAATGCATTCATCTATGAGAAGTCTTTTTTTAGAGGACACTGAAAGTTCTGATGGACAAGATTTAAAGCGTTCCCTGAACAGTCCTCTCAAAAAAACACCTCTAGAAAAATAATCACTTGGGTGGAGCACTTGACATTTAGAGGAATTCTCCCATTTTCCTTAACTAATAATGAGGAAATTCCTCTCTTTCCCACCCCGTCTTTGGTTCTGTAAACCCCACCTATCCCATAGGTCCGTGGAGCATTGTTATTCTTGTTACTGTTCTCACTTCCAAGAGAAGAGGAGGAACTGGTTAAGTCCAACTGCCCGGAGCCAAAAGATCTCAGCTGATTGTCACTGCCACCTAACAACAGGATGAGAAAAGAATTTAGATGTATCCATTTAACAAGGACAGGAGAGACTGATACGCACACAAAATGCATCCATGTCTGAAATATCTAAGAAGTAAAGCTGAAAAGGTATTTGTTATGTCAGTGAAATCTAACAATTTATTCATCGTTTTGGCCTTCCTCTAGAGAAAACTGTCTTAGCCATTTATTACTGGTTTATACCCATTCAGTTAAAGGGTAGAAAGAGAAAGGAACTTGGAAGGTTATTCAGCAAAAAATTACTATTATTTTAATATAAGAAAGCATCAACATAAAGAAGTGAGTTTGCCTAAAATTTAATCTCTTTGAAAATAAAATAGCAACAAAAAAAAGATAATCAAGACCCGTGTTAATACAATGAAAAAATAAATCAGGAAGATATTAGTTTTCTTATGTTTTTAAAGCTTTCTACTCTGCAATTAATGTTATATAATTATATTTAGTTAGAACACCTTTTACTATAAAAATTATTTCCATACTTACAATCAATAAAAACCATATATATATGTTTTAAACGGCAATATGTAGTTTAACACTATTTACTATTAAGAAATACCAAAATTCTTCCAAATTTATAAACCAGGGGGGGTGGGGGGGGGAATCCATTGGGCATTATATAGGACATCATTTTAAATGACCCGAACATCAAAAATGATGTGATATATAAATCTGGAATTTATTGCAGCTGAAATGTATGGATTGCTATAAAGGAAAACAGTAAGTAATTTAGTTCTACCTTTCCTTGGAGAACTCTGTGGAGAAGTGGGAGGAGAAGAAAGCTGGGAAGATGCGTTTGATATAGTGTCTTCTGCTTGTTTTTTATGACGCTCCAGACTTCCTTCTTCAGACAAAGAAAGAATTTTCTTTAAAGCTTGTGGAGAATATATGCCTATAAAAGAAAGAAATAAATATGTATTTTCATGAGTAAAAAGGAATCACATGAATAAAATCTTTTTGGATGATTTAATATTACATTTAGTTTCAACCTACTTGTAATATCATCATGGTATAAACAGTAAGCTTACAGAAGGCACACAGTACCTGTAATGTGGTTTCTGACTGGGATCTGCTGGAGTGCTAGAAATAGACTGCTTTTGATATTTTACTTTAGATTCTAAATCTTAATCAACATTCATTCAACAATATGTTGACATCAGACAACAATGAAGAAAAAAAAATGAGCAATTTGAAAATATTAGAATTTAGGACAAAAGTGATCAGCTAAGAATATTTATTATTAGAATTCAAGGCTGAGTATTTTGGTGAACTCAAACAGGTATTTTGGTATTACTGGGTGTGTTGGCTCAGGAGAAGTGGGAATGATGGGAGAAAACTAACGAGCCAAGAGCTAACCAGAGGTAGTAAGAAAAGTGAATAAAAACGTTCTAGGGAATTCCATGAAGTTAATATTCGATCAAATAAGTAGATGCAAGAAAAGCAGAAGTAGACCCATGGAAGTGCCCTGTGTCACAGAAACCACAGGAGACAATTTCAGAAGGGAGTGATCTAGTGCCAAGCGTAGGATCAAGAAGGATGAGGGTAGAAGAAAAAGGATTACATATCCCAATATAAGGTAATTTTCCCCCCAAGAAATATTTTTAGAAATGGGGGAGTCACATTATAATAGTTTACAAAGCCTCTAGTATTCTTATGAGGCACTCTCAATTGCCTTATTTCTGAACGACAAAGAGATACTTGGAAATACCTGGAAATACCTGACACTGCCTCAGTCAATGCTAGTTTTAATGTTCTTAGACTTACCAGGATCCATTAAAAAGGAGGCGGTGAAATTTAACACAGATTTAAGCCTTCATTTCACCTCATGTAAACATCTGATCTTGTTTTAATACAGTTACTTAAAGACCACTTTTAAAGCAATATTTATGTATATACATGCTGATATACACAACATGCATGAAAATGTTAAGTACACTAAAGCTGTACGAATAAATAGTTGTGATTTGGGAAAAAATTCCAAGGCCAGCATTATGCAGAGATTAAAAAAGTGCTTTATATTCAGGCACACCTACACATTTGGCTAAAAAGTTATATTTAAGTAAAAGAAAGACTGATAAACTTCCATATAAGAAGGTCAGTGTAAAAGAGGAAACAGAAGTCAGGTTGCAGGGGATTTAGGAAGATATGAATATTAATAAGATGACGGACAGAGAAACCTGTAATTCAGTTTGTGATAGGGAGAGTAATACAAATACAAATACAAATACAAATCAAAGCGGAAATGTCAAGCAAAGATATTCTTTTGTCACTCTTCCCCAAATTCAACAAATGGCATATATGCTGACCAGGAAGAAAGAGCCAAAGATAAAGTATACGAAGGACCTACTGGAAGACTCTTGCCCACCTCATAAGGACAGGGTGTCCCTGGGTAGGAAGGTTTTTTTTTTCCCCCTTTTATTAACATTGTTTCCTTTCACATAAATGTACAAAAAAGAACCCATACATTTTATGAAATATAACTTTGTTGTACTATTTACATAAAGGGACAAAACTAATAGATATATACTAACACTCCCATTTCACACGCCCTCCCCTCCCAATAACAAATGAGCATGATTCAAGGAGACACTCTATAGAATAAACAGTAAACAGTCCCTTCCACTGGTAACAGTAAAATTTAACTTTCTGAACATTAATGTTTTACTAAGAGGTAACAATCAAATAGAGACTCAAGTAAATTAGAGGTATTCAAGACAAGGATTTTTTCCTAATCTGAAAAACATGACACCAAATAGCCTCAAAAGAGGATATGATTTGAATCACCTACCAAAAGGTGGAAGATCCTTTACGGGTACTTTCTTTCGCGAGGGATAAAGGGACACAGCAGGAACCTGCAGTCCTTGGTTGATTTTATGTGGTGGCGGTGGCTGTTGGGGCTGTGGCTGGGCTTGTGCTTTCTGTTGCGATCCTGCCCTTGGAGCCACTGGGGAGGTCTCAGACTTGACCGGCTTTTTGTCACCAGGATTCTTAGGCACTGTTAATTGTTTGGTTTAAAAACAGAACAAGAAATTTCAGAAGTTAGTAGCTATATACAAGTTCAGAACTGCAAAAGCATTTTCTACACTTTAGAACACGAAAATGTGTATCATGTCTTTTTCCTGTTACCCACATAAAGGGCAGAAATGGGGGTGGGAGGGAACCCTAGTTACAGAAAATAACATAGGCCTGACAGGACAAACATATTTACTTTATGAAACTGTCGCAAATGATGATTATACTATTAAATACCACTAAAAAATAAAAGTAGAAAAATGTGGACAGTTCAATATGCTGTGTGTATGTATATAAAAAGCAGAAATATATGATAAAATCTACAACAGGAAAATTATTAGGATTACTTTTCAAAATGGAGCTCAAAATTCCTTGACATGTATGAGCTTAGTTTTTATTTAATAAATGGTATTAACTATAATCTTTTCACTCTTAAATTCTCTCCTATGGGTAAAATTATCTATGTTAGCCAATAGCAACCAATACAGCTTGAATATTGGACTGATTATATAATTCCATGGCATATAGAAGACAATCTGAATAGGACAATTAAAAATGCTGTATGTGGGGCGCCTGGGTGGCGCAGTCGGTTAAGCGTCCGACTTCAGCTAGGTCATGATCTCACAGTCCGTGAGTTCGAGCCCCGCGACAGGCTCTGGGCTGATGGCTCAGAGCCTGGAGCCTGTTTCCGATTCTGTGTCTCCCTCTCTCTCTGCCCCTCCCCCGTTCATGCTCTGTCTCTCTCTGTCCCAAAAATAAATAAAAACGTTGAAAAAAAAATTAAAAAAAATAAAATAAAAATGCTGTATGTATAACGTATTAACATTCAAAACAACTCAATGACACAGATGTACTTCCTCCATTTACACGTAAAGAAGCTAAGGATAAGGGAGCTCAAGTTAGTTGCCTAACGGGACGTTGCTATCTGGAGAAACAAACAGGATTTGAACTCAAACCAATCTGACTCCAGAGGACAAGCTCTTCGGTGTCCTGGGAAAATCTAGTAACTTGAATCTTCTCAACTCATCTAACATTTAAATTCTATCAAGGGTATCTTCAAACCTGTCCATAAAAGACCCGAAAGTGTCCTAAATGGAAAATGCCTCGATCTTACACGAGTGCAGATGCAAACAAGCAGAAAACTGCCCCCATTTCTAGCCTGGTCAGATTTTTGAAGGCTGGGAAACTACACGTTAGGCTGCGTTTTGGTACCGTGCAGCAGAACCACTGCTTCCTGTGTCAGGCCAACTTCCTGCCGGCGCTGTCAGGCTGAGGGTATAAAAGGCAGCAGGTGCACCTAGTCACAGACCCCTCTGACGAGGCAGGCCCTTCACTACTCTCACCTCTCAGGTTGCCCATCACTTTGGAAGTATCTTTGCGAGACAACAAAGACACAACGGAAAGAGCCGTCCCCCTAAGTCTCTGTGGTCACCCTGCCCAAGCCAAGTAAGTTGGATGGGAGGCCTGGCCTAGGCCAGTACTGCATGGGATCAATGGCAGCATTCAAGGGAGGGGCTAGTATGTTGCCAGGATGCTACTGCCCCCTCGGTGCTAAGCCCCACTTGTCGCCGCCCATACCACTGCTCAGGAAACAAATCTGCGTTTCAGATTCTGCAGCCGCTTTAAGGAAAAACTCACATGTGTTGGTTGCTGGCTCACACTGCAGTGATAAGGTCTGCAGACTCTCCTCATCCATTTCTAGCTCCAAATTGGACAGGTACTGCTTGACTTTTCGAGCCATTTGGGCGTCTTCGTAAAGCTTTTTGGCATTGAGAAAGGAACTACGACGTACCCGCTTTTTATGACCACCTGTCTGAGCAACGTCTAGCACTGTTGCATTTGTACTACCCTGGCTGAGAGACCTGGAAGATGAAAAGGCAGATATGCAGCTCACTCTACCATGGGGTTCCTTTATCTATTTGAAACATGCCAAGACTTACACAAGTATTCTGCGTTCAAAAGATCACATGCCTCATTCTGGTAAGTAAACTGTTACAAGGAAATATAGACTAATATAGATTAAATTTTCTTAAGTTAAAAAAGAATCATACGTACATACATATATATATGTTTCTAGTCCAACTCGGAAATTCTGCTTTTCTCATCTATAGAGCATTCAAGGCAGTTCTTTCATAGAAGCCAGCAAATACTGATTATATATAGGAGCTCATGCAATACACAGTTAAAAATCATTGAGATTTACATGAAATTTACTTCTCCTAAAGAGGATATTTTACATAAATTTAAATAAAATTAGCTACACTGTTCACAATCGTTTTCTTATTCCTTGAGTGAAAGAGTTTTTGAAGTAATATGGGTCAATCTGTTAATAAAATGATCATGCAAATGTAAACATATATATATATATAGAAACTAGCACATGAATTGTTAAGAATTATGTTTAAAAAGTATCGGTTTATAGAATGAAAACAGTAGTTAGTTGAGCTGTAAAAACTGTAGTTTTAACACCTTGGGGCACTTTTTACATTATATATATTTACTTAAATATCTGTGCAATAGTATTTAAATTGCACAGTTTTTCCTTTTAATGTTCTTCCTCCCATAACCCCGCATTAGGCTTTCTCCATTTCCAAGTACACAAATCATATTAAAATAAAATCTTTTTGAAGACTGAGAAGTATGCCTGGCCTACAGTTCCCCAGAACAATCATCAACCACTTCACGGCTCTCATGGATCATGACCTCAAAAACAAAAGCCCCAACAGATTAAACGTGAAGTCAGCAAGAGGGTTAAGAGAAAATGCAAAGCATCAGAAAATACAGCAGGTAAGAAAACAATGCAATGAGCAGAATAAGAATTGTGTGTGGGTTTGCAAGGTCTCCACCACTTACCCCAAACTCCTCCATTTCTTCTTCCTGTAAGTGAGAGCCATGGAGATTGAAGCATGGGTGTAGAAAGAGAGACAGAAAGATCACAAGCTCAGAAAGAAAGGACTAGACTTTTGGATAAGCAGTACTAGAAGCTCACAAACATTAAACTGCATAATCACCTCACACACACAACTTTACCCGCAATACTTTTCTGGCTCAAGAGACAGATACGGTTAATTTTTTTGTTCTAAGAACTCCTTTCCTTCACTGGATTAATCATTTTTGACTACACTGCCAACTAAATCCATTGCATGGATACTGAGCCCATATTGTTTGGGTTCTTTACATATTTTAGTTCATACTATCAGTTATGAGTTTTAAGCTCTACAAACCAGTGTTCTGACAAGTAAGGAATAGTTGTGCCTCATGTCAAATGAAAAATTTCTGCAGGACAAACTGTTTTTTACGGACAGTCAAAAGTGCACCTGAGGCCGAATAAGACATTTGTTTCGAATTAGAGCTCAGGGGATTCTCGCCACAACCTAATAAAATTTCTGCCAAGCTACAAATGTAAATATTCAAAAATTTCTCATTTATTAGGAGACCTCTAAACCCAAACTTCTCTAAGCCTACACGTGTTACTGAAGAGGACACACTCACCGAGTCCTGAACATGAGGGCAGGGTCCATGTTAACTGAAGCCATTCGGCCAACATGACGAATTTCTTTTGCAATCATCCTTAGCTTCTCAAAATTGACTAGCCCATCAACTTTTGAGTCATTTCCTATAATTGGCAAAGAAGAAAAAGGGAATCCTATCACATTCATTTATCGTGTGCTTCCACAAGTGAAGACAGAAAATCTACTTTATACTTACCTTCATGAAGGAATGTGAGATCCTTCTTGATAACTGGGAATAGAGGGATTATGGGAGGCTGCAGGTTTTGACTGTTGAGGACATTGCGATATTTTGCCATGTTTCTGGAGGGATCAAACAAGTCTTGGAGATCTTGAAACAGCTTTTCGTATTTATTGGGAAGTTTTTCCCAGGTGGTTCGTAGTCTTGCCACTGGTGCCAAATTTAGGCCACTGAAAGGAAAAAAAGGAAATTAAATGACTCATTCTTACGAAACAAAGAAAGTAAAAATAGCATATTGTTCATAAACGTATAATACCTCTGTGTTTATGCTGTATATACATAGCAATTTATGGGATTCATAAGAAACTACTAGTAATTCTGGATAATGAGAATTGAAGACAGAAGCAGGGTCAGGGCCAAGGGTTATTACCCTTCAGACCCTTCCAGTCTGTTTATTATGGACAAACAACTGGAATGTGAAGTATCATGAGGGTAGCATCTGTTTTGCAGCTCTGCTTCTATGCACAGAGAAGCGCTTGGCACATAGGAGGCTGGTGATAAAACAGACTGGCCAAGTATCCTACAGGAATAAAATAAAAGTCCTAACAGTAATGACAATATGATCAAACTCCTAGTGAGAGACAATGATTCATAATCACCGTGAATAGCAATATTGCTAATTGTTTCAGTTTGTAGTGTCTTCCGGCCTCAGTATAAGCACTTACACGGGAAGAAAATGAAAATGAACATTTAGTGGGCATCTGCCTTGTGCCGGCTGATAGAAGTCCACATACATAATATCACTGAATCAACTTGATCCTTCTTTGGGGCACTGTTCCTTTATGAGAAATAAACTGATGTCTAGAGAAATTAAAATAATTTGCCCTAAGTCGCAGAACTAAAAAAAGTAGTGAATATAGCTTTTCTGGGCTCTACATGTAGCTCACCAGAGACTTTAAATTAAGAATCATTGGATTCCTTGGGGCGCCTGGGTGGCGCAGTCGGTTAAGCGTCCGACTTCAGCCAGGTCATGATCTCGTGGTCCGTGAGTTCGAGCCCCGCGTCGGGCTCTGGGCTGATGGCTCGGAGCCTGGAGCCTGTTTCCGATTCTGTGTCTCCCTCTCTCTCTGCCCCTCCCCCGTTCATGCTCTGTCTCTCTCTGTCCCAAAAATAAATAAACGTTGAAAAAAAAAA